ACCGCAAGGGTCGTCACGCCTCCGATGATTTTCCTTTGGAAGTGGAGGGAAGCGAAAGGGGAGGAAAAGATGTCCACCCGTTCTTTATGTTTACCTGCCTCAGTAGAGTTTCGTCAAACTGAGGTATGTACAGCCCATAACTAAGTGCAACAAGCGGCGGGGCCGCGTTAAAAGCATATTACCGGACGAACGAGCTGCAGAGATACAAGAGAAGAGAGCCGGCATGTTAACATATAGCTCTCGAACGCCCCTTTCCGCTCACCGATATGGACAATAGCATGAGACGCGTACCACTTGGCAAAAATTCCGGAGAGTAAAAGAAGCAGAAGACAACGCCTCGAAATCGGAGTGGACCGGATAAAGACGTTTGGCAGCAGCGGCGGCCAGTCCATCCTACTAGTAGAGCCAGTGTGGTCCAAATTAACATCCCACCCACTGAACTACGGCTAAAGTTCCATTGTCATAGAACTGTTCGAAATTGTTTTTGTAGGTACAGTCCTCGCTGACTGTATGGGGAAGATGGAGCACCATTGCGCCTTGTTCATTAATGTTCAGCTCCGCGTGTGAAGTGGGTCCCTGTGAGAAGTTTTCCATGAGAGGGAGGGCCAGTCGGATCGAAAAAGATACTAATGTTTTGAGAATTATCGCACTTTACCGTTTCACTTGCTTGTATACCCCCTCCCCCTAGAAGACAGTCATCAAAATTTTCTATGCGGCACTCCCCTTAGTGATGAGGAATCGCAGAATAAACTATTGCCGACGGTACCAACCATTTGGTATACTCCCTACGGTTATCCCTCACTAACTTCATCTGCCAACCATTGCTCAGTTTCACTTACTCCCCATTTCGTGGGGTTTTTCGGATGCGTTTTGAGGGTTTTTGTCCTCGGCACCGTTCACTTCGGCGAACGCCCCGCCCATCAGGGGTGTGCTTCATTGATTTCGTCCGCCAACTGATTGCCTATCGTTTGCCACTTTTTCCACTCTCGGGGCTCTTTTGGAACCGAACTACGAATTTTTGAAATATGTAGCTCACAACTGTGCGCACGCCCCGCCCACAGGCGGGGCTTAGCTTAGTTCATGTGTGTTCCGTACATCTTGGCCCATGCCCTACCCAACCCACCTT